TTAGTATAGTTTGAAACCTAGTAATTTCCATCGAAGTTTACAAAGGTAGATTAACTACAACTCAGAATTCTTGTCCAAGCTTGTTCTTAAGAGACAAGCTAGTAGTCATTAGTTAAGATTATGACCAAGAAAGACAATACTCCTTTTAAGAAGCGTAGAGCTGAAAAGAAGAAGATGGAGAGAGAAACCGCTAGCGCTGCCGCAGAAGCAACCGCTGCCGCTGCTGATGCGTCTAACCGCACTGTAGCCGAAGTACTTGCCTTTGACAATAATAGTCAGACAATGCTTCAGATAAGGATGTAGCCAATCCGATTAAGGAGACTACTCCCCCTGTCAGAGCCCGAGGGCCAGCTATTGCCGCAACTTCAAAGCTTTCATTTCCGAATCTAAGAAGTGAGACAAGGAACACGTCTCAAGACGCCCCAATCCATTCTTCTGACGAAACTAAAAAAAAAATAGTTCCCAATTATAAGGGAGTCCCCAATGATAGGGGACAAGGACAAATCTCAGAAGGAACCTATAAAGGAATCAGAAGAGGAGGCAAGCTCAAGTGGCAAACCCGAATCTACGTCCGAAACTACTGAGCCAACGCGCATAAGTCTGTTAATTACTGAAAACGCTGATATTAAGAACCAGTTAGCCGCCCTTATGAAAGGCATGACTGTTGAACATGTAGATCGAATGTATAGATCAGGAAAACATACACAGCACTTACGCGAGCATGTTTCTCAGGGCACTACTGAAGCCCTACAGAAGTGGACAGAACGTCGACTGGCAATTACGCCCGAAAAGCGTAAAGGCCTGAGCGCTACACATGTGGCAGATGATCCAGATGTGCTCAGCGTATCTATACCTTACCAGGTACTACCACCAGAACTCCAGGCTAATTATTCGCCTGTTTTAACGCCCGGCCACGAGTCGCCCGTCCTTGAGGGTATTATAGACCCAGAGGCAGGTAAAAATACTCCTCCACCTTTACCCAACTGGGATGACAATCGTCGGAAACCAGTTAAGACTGGGTGTGTCATCCAGACGCATGAATCACCCAAGATTATAATACCAACTACTATCAAAGGAACAGAGCACCGAAAGGCCT